TTTGTCTTATTTATTTTATCTATTTATTTGTGGCTTTTACCATTGACGTAATTATAATTCTTTTTGTGTATACTCATTTCTCCTGTGTAACACAGCTGCAGTATATATTGTGGTAATATTATATTTGAGTATTATTATTACATCTTGAATTCTCCCGAAAATAAATATCTACTATCTAATCATCTATCTAATGGTTGCCTAACTCTCTAACCTCTTGCATGTAGTGTGGAGTTGGTCCGCGCGTTCCTTTAATGAAGCAACCAGGAGAAGATATTCTGCTCCAGATTGAATGGTTATTAGCAGTAAATGAATAAAGCTTTACAGAGCCTGGCTACATTTCCCTTCACTGACAACCAAACAGAGTTGGGTCAGTTCACGAAAGTCTGACTCTTTCTTCTCTCCTTTTTAATTTGAGCGCGCACCAGCTTATAGGTGCATTGCCGCCAACCTACCGGACCTGGACGTCCAGTGTTGGGTAACCATTAGATGACAAAATAATAAATAAAAATAAAACAATAAAATAAATAAAAATTAAAAAATAAAATAAAATAAAAATATGTTATATTAAACCTACCCATAACCCTTTTCCCTCAATTACTTACTCAACATACCTCCTAATGCTTCTGATCCTTTGCAACATGTTCCCTACGTGAAAGCTCACTGTTCCTCTTTCAGTCCTGATTTTAGTTCTTCTCCTCTTCTCTTAAACCCCTACATCCATAAGAACATGCTGCACAAGATTCAGAATGATCACACAATCTACATTTACGCAGTAGGGATGTTTACAATTCGTATACGCCTGCTATTAAACTCTGTGTGCCCTAATCCTGAGGCGGTAATTGACCACCCTCCTCCTTCCCTGCTCCCCGCCCACGGCACTCCTGCCTTCCCGACCCTGTTTTTGTATACTGTATAGAGTTCTTCCTGTCCATGTATATCCCAATATTCCCTCAAACATTTTTGCATTTGTGTTTAATGATTGTCTTCCTTCGCAGCTCAGCGCGCCCCATTTTCTGGCTCTTTGAGCCAGTCTGTAAATATACTACTCTATTGCATAATTCTGTCAATAATACTTTCAATCTAATCTGCTCCTCATCATGGTTTATATATACTTTAATAGAGACTTCCTGGTGCACCCAAAACACGACCTTGATAAACATCTCAAAGGTTATTATTAACATTTTTACCACTTATCTTTTGTCCTCTTCAATGTCCTGTCCTCCAGGTAAGCTGTTCATCAAACAGCACTCCCAAAAACGAATGACTTAACTTGCTCCAAGTGTTTCACCATATGACTTGATACTTCTTTGTGGCGTTTTGCAAAAACAATATCACTTGTGTTTTTGCAACTGACACCTTAAATCCCCACCTTATGTCCCACATGCCCACTGTATCAACCGCTTGCCTGCAGCTTCTTCTGCCAGATATTCTGATTCCTCCCCCTTACCCATAATGCCCCATCAATCAGCCAAATGAGGATTTGCTTATTCCTTCCCACCTGCCTCAATATAGTCATTAATCATACAGTTACAGAATATTGGACTGCAAACTCCCTGTGTGTTCCATTTT